TTTTTTTTTTTGCAGAACTGGGGATTGAACTCAGGCTCTTGCACTTGCCAGGGAAGCACCTATTCCACTGAGCCATCTCCTCGGCCCCACAATTTTTCTTCTATAGGAAAAAACAAAACAGAAATACATCCAAGAAGAAAAGGAAAGCTGCATAACAGGAAACCAGGGGGTAGATCCCTGGATAGTGGAAAAAGATCGGAGAGATAGGAGGCAGAAGGAGATGAAGAAAGAATTAAGAAGTAGTGTGTGGCTGGGGAGCCAAGTCAGTGGTACAAGTTCTTGCCTGGCAAGCTCAAGGTCCCCAGTTCGATCTCCAGTACCCCTAAAAGAAAAACAAATTGGAAAAAAAAAAAAGCAAACAAAGAAAAAAGAATTCAGTGTAACATACAGGAACCGACTCTCGGCAAGCCTAGCCGTTCCACAGATGTGCACTAGGTCATGTGGTGATATTTAAGGAGTGAGTCAAAAGAAGTGTTACCTCCATGCTGAACTGCGGTCTCCACTTAGGAAGCTGATGGCAGGCAGGGAGATTACAGAGAAGCAAGCATCCTTGGATGACCTCTTCCCGTGCTTCTCGGCAGCACTGTGCCGGGAAGTGGGCCCAGGGGAGGGTGAGCACATCCAGTCCTCCCACACTTGCCTTCCCACTGGTACTCTGCTTGCGCTTTCGCTTTCTCCCCCCACCCCCGGCCAGGGCCTCCCTGAGGTGGTAGGGTAGGGGGATAGGGGGATCGCGGCCCCATGGGTCTCCCTGGCTTCCACTGCACAGGACCAACAGGAGCAGCCCCCAAACCAACCCGATGCCCTCCGGGCGTCTGCCCGCTGCCAGCCCCCTGGCCGCTGTCTTCTCTAGACGCTGAGCAGGGAGCTGCACCTGTCCTTTCCCGCCCTGGGCGATCCTGCCTTGGGAAGCGCCCCAGAGCTTAGCAGGAGAGAGAACTAAAGAGCCAGAGAGACTGATCCTGGGAAGCACCTTCCTGAAGTTCAGCTCGGGTCCTGCAGACCTCAGCTCCTAACAGCGTTCGCGCTCGGCCTGCATCCCCGCGGGGGCGCGGCCGCCCTGTGGCCCGGTTCTCCTCGGCAGCCCGAGGTCGCCCCCAGTCCCCTTCTGGAGGCCCGGCGTCCGCACGCCCCAGCTGTATTCGATCTGTCTGGCCCCAGCCCCGGGATTTTCTAGTGAAGTTTTCTCCCAAACTCCAGCCCCACCCCAGGACCAAGGGTGACCTACCAGGGACGCCTCTGTCACCGATGGGCTAGCTCGCAGCCACGGGCGTCCGCTCCTGGCTCTCCGCACAGCGGTGCTTCTGGGGCAAAGCGCAGCTCCGGGCACTGCGGGCGGGAGGAAGCAGTGGGCGGGCCGGTGGGGCGCGCTCTCTGTGAAGCGCATCTCGGTTTAGCGCCTCCTCTCAGGCAGCAGGAAGTTGACTCACAACTTCTCAGCGATTCTCCTTTTCTTGATCCTGAAGTCTTTGGGGTGCCTGGAGGGCACCTTGAAGGTTAGAGGGGCCAGTAAGTGTGTCGTCGGGCCTGGATGGGAGCTGGGATCGCCAGGATCCTGACTGCAAGCCTGCTGGGGAGACAAGGGGGCCGAGGACCCACCAGGCTGCACCTCCACTGTAGGAGGGCTGGGCAGGAGACTTCAGGACAAAAAGAACCCCAGGACGGGGCGGACTGCGGCAAGCCAGGCTCCGAGGCTGCGAGGGTCCTGCGAGGGACTGCGGTGGCCAGGGCAGGCGCATTCCAGGGCGCGGCATCACCCAGACCCCAGCGCCAGGCCAGCCAGGGGTGGCAGGGATACAGGGAGAAAAACTGATCTCGGGTGGGTGACCGCCACACGATATAGGGAACCTCCAAATGACTAGGGAAAAATGATCTCTTAAGTTGACCTAGATGAGTTCGTGTTCTCTAAAGCTGAAGAATGAATTTTAGGAACAAACGGAGGTCAGGAGCAGAATATATTTATTGAGAGAAAGAAAGCTCCTGTCTGAGAGAGGGACAGCAGGGGAATCCCAGCGGGTTGTTCCCCAGGAAGCTGTTTCTTCCAGGGACTTTTATGGTGTAAAACTATGCGGGGTTAAGGTGAAGAGAGTGGGAACTCACTTAGGTGGACAAGAGGTGGGACAAAAACTATAGTCACCCAGTAGGATTACAAGCACCATTGCTCAGGTAAAATTGATTAGGCCCAGGACCAAATGGGGTAGCCAGTCACAGAGCAAGCGGGCATGAATGTAAAACAGGACCTTATCTGGTGGCCTTCACACCATAATTGTTCCTGAGTAATGATCAATCCTGAATGCCAGTCTTTAGGGAGGTTAGCATGTGTTTGGTCTTTAGGTATGGCTCACAGCTGGAGCATCCCTCCCTCCCACAGTTGTAAAGTGTCTGGCTTTTGTTATCTCCTTCGAGGGTCTGACCCTGTCTGGCTGCCTATATTTCTATCTAACTCAGGCTGCCTGCAACAGCAGCAGGTGCCACCAAAACAAGCTCCCTCTGAAAGCACGATTTTCCAGAGCTTCACTGCCCACAAAGGAGAGGGTATGGACCTGAGAAATTCGCACCTCAGAGCTGAGGAACAGAGACCCCAGAAAGCTTGCCAGGTGGCCTTAGGCATTCAGAGCAGAAGTTCCAGCATTCGAGGCTGTGGTGGAGACTGGATCCATGTCCCAGCCCTGCTCCCTCTTACCCCGTTGACAGAAGGACAGATTGTGTGGGAAGTGACAGGGTTGTGAAGCGCGTTGGTACCTACAGTACAGGTGAAAATCGTGGAGAGCTGGCCCTAATGTACACACACAGCACGTGGAGTGGACAAAAATCACTGCTTCTTCCCTGCACAGGTGCCCTGGGATTTGAGTTGAATAATGTTAAAAAAAAAAAAAAGCTCCCAACGAATGCCTCTTGACCTGCGTTTCCTGAATTATGTAATAAGAGTACCTAGGCAGCACTGGGCTTAAGAGGGAGCACATTACACATTAGAAACCTCCAGGGCTGTTGACAGCTTGTCCAGCATGCTTGAAGCCCTGAGTCCAATCCTCATTAACAGAAAAGTAAAAAGAAACTTCCAGTTCCCGCCCCCGTACTGTAGGCCGAACAGTCCTGCACACTAAGCTGCCGTCCTAGGCCTTTATTACAGGTCTGAGCCCCCGTGGTGCCTGGGCCGCCTTCATTTCGTGTCCCTCTATACATGCAGCACGAATCTTTTATTAGTAGCATTGCCTCATATTTCTTTACTGACATAAAATATATATTACTACATAGGATGCTACTATGCATATTAGGAGTAATGCGGTGTTTTGCTGCTGAAGGTCCTTTTGTTTTCCCAGTGCTTTCATCCTGCTGGAAGAGATCCACTTTCCTGGTTGAGTGAATCTGTTGAAATTAACATCTCTGCACATCGTTTTGGTTCCAGGATCTCTCCCCGAGCCCTGGCACGGGTCCCGGCGTGTGCTCCTCAGGCCTGCGTGCATAAGTCCTGCAAGCGCACCCTTAGAGTTGCTCAACCTGAGGATTCATGCCTGTTTACCCATTTTAGGTGTTATCCATTTATGTTACAACATGATTGTATCTGTTTGCGCTCCTACCAGGGAGAAGCAGGGGGCTGTGTTACTTAACATGTTCACTAAAATTTTGTGTTGTCCAATTTTAATGTTGAGTAATCTCTTGCATGAGAAATATAATTTTTCTAGTGGTTTAACCACTTGGATTCTGTTACTTTTTCTCACTGCTGAGACAAAGTCCCTCACATTCCAAGTGATAGGAGGAAAGGTTCATTTCAGTTCACAAGGTGTGGCTGTTTCAGCCCGTAATCAACTGGAACAAAAAAGCAGGATGTTATGGCAGAGGGCCAAAGGAGAAGCAGTTCACAGCAGGCAGAAGGTGGCAAAAGCAGCAAACCACAAGGGAGAATCCCAGCTCTCTCTGTCCCTTGTATGTCTTCCCTGGTGGCGGGCTGCAATCCCAGCATCAGGAAGTAAGTCAACCCCAGAATCTCACCCTTGGTCACAGCACCTGCAATGATGTCTAGATGCCCTCCAAAGCCTTAGGAATCATAGGGTTTTTGAATAGTCCTGTTTTCCTCTACATCCAGCCTGTGACTGCCCGAGGCTTTGGGGGATACCTAGAGTTCGCCATAATACTCCTCCCATCGTTTTCTTGTCTTATTGTCCTCCATCTCCCTCCTTCTCCTTCTGTCCTTCCCTTTCTCTCCTCTCCTTCCCCTTCTGCCTTCTTTTCTCCATACTGATGAACTGAACCCAGGGCCTTTGCACTGATCACAACTCCATTCTTACTGTATTTTTACTTTTTATTTTTTTCTTTTGGGTGGGGGCAGGAACTGGAGATTGAACTCAGGCCCTTGTGCTTGCAGGCAAGCACTTATTCTACTGAGCCATTGATTGAGACAGTTTCACAGTAAATTGCTGCAGTGCCTGGGTCAGACACCCCCTCACCATGCTTCCCCCTGGGGAGCAATCCCTACAGCAGAGGCCTTTGTGAGCCACGCAGCATCCTGCTGTGGTGTGTTCCTGGTTGTCCCTCCAAGGCCTCACACACTCATGGGGCAGCTTCTAGAGTTTGTGCTTCACTCATGATCCAGGGCTGGGTTTCCGGGTGCGAGTGCTCCACCCACCCTGGACAGATAACCTGAGTGCAGTGCAAGGAAGGGAGAGCGGCTTGCTCTCCGCCGGTGCTCCTGCCTTTTTGCTCTTGCTGTTTTGTTGTTTGCAACCATCATGAACTGCTGCCCTCTGCCATGTCCTGCCCTGCCTTGGAGTCCGCCAAGTATGGACTCAAACCTCCACAAACTGTGAGCTAAATAAACCTTTCCTTCCTTAGTTTTGGGCCCCAGGTATTTTCGTCCCAGCGAGGAAAAAAAGTAAGGAGATACATCCAAAGCATAATAAAGTCCTAAATTATTATTATTACAGACGCATGGCCACAAGGGCAGGCCCATCACAGCAGGCTGCGTGCAGAACCCTGGCTACCTGCACCTGCCCGAGCAGATGCTTTAGTCCACTGAGTTATCTGGCCAGCCTTAAAGCCCTAGATTAAATGTGCCTCTCTTCCCAGCACTCTGGGAGGCTGAGGCAGGAGGATGGCAAGTTGGAGACCAACCTGGGCTACTTAGTGAGAGCTGGTCTCAAAACAAATCAAGAAAAAGCCTGGTGGGGCCGGGGAGATGGCTCAGTAGGATAAGCGCTTGACTGGCAAACTCAAGGACCTGAGTTCAATCCCCGGTTCCGCAAAAAAAAAAGAAAAAGCCTGGAGCTATCGCTCACTGGGCTCAATCCCCAGTACCAAGACAAACAAACACAAACAGAATGCCAAGGATTAGAAAAAGGTTAAGAATGTTGACAGAAATACCAGAATTTCTAGCAATTAAGAATGTAAACTTCAGGGTCCAAGATGCAGCTCCAAGATGGGATGGTGT